ACAAAAATTAATAAAATCTGAAGCTTCAACTAATTGTAAAGGTTGAACAGTTCCTACAATAAATTTAACTAAATATTGATTAAGTTCTTTTTGTTTTTTTATACCATGAAATGTTTTTGAAACATTACTTAAAATGTTAGGTAATAATTGTTAAGAAATAGAAGAACCTTGACTTTTTTCAACTGTAGCTTTTGTAATATGATGAAATGCAGCAAGGTGTGTTTTCATAGCAGTAGTACTTTGATGATATGCAAGATCTTGTCTACAACCTATTAATTGACATGTAGTAATATTAGGTAAAGTTTCTTTAAAATAATTCCAAACATAACTTTTTTTTAATCTAGTTTTTCTTGTTAATTTTTTTCTTCTTTTAGTAGGAATAAATGAATTATTTTCTTCTAAATTAAGATCATTAGATGAATAAATTAAAGTAGGATTATTATTAGAAGATTGTAATTCTATATCAGATTCATTAGATTCATTTTCTAATAAATCATCAAGTTCATTATCAGTACTAATATAATCATTATTAGAATGATAATTTTCATCTTCTTTATATATCTCAGATATATGTGAATCCTCTTTACTTGTAAATGATAATGTAGTTTGTCGGGTCTTAGAACGAGTAGTAATGTTTGCCATAGTAATGAGTAAGTTACGGTGATTATTACAATTTACAAAACAATTAGCATATATACAAATTTAGTGTTACATTTAATTTTGTTTAATGATAAATAATTTCTGCATAAATAAAGTTACAATGATGCAACCAATTAAACGTACATACAAATCTAGTGTTATATATTTAATATTATGTATAACAATAAATAATTGCTAAATTAGTATTAATTATACTAGGAACGGAGTGAAACAAAGTGTATGCCATCGTTATTTATATCTTGTTTATCTGACACTAAGCTACCTTATTACTTAATTATAAAATAATTCACTAATAAAAAATTGATTTTATTTATTAAAATCGATTACTTTACCAAAATCAATTTTAATTACAAAATCGATTATCATAACCGATTAATCAATTTTTAGTTTCAAAATCAATTATTAAAATCAATTTTAAAATATCCAATTTTTGATAATCGATTCCCATCCCTAGTATACAGTCACCCAGTCAAAACAAGCTCTAAACAAAGATTTTTGACCCAATATTGGTCAAATTACAACTAAATTTAATATTTACTATTTTACAAAACTCTTTTTCTATGTTTTTTTCTTACTCTATTCTCTTTTTCTGTTACACATTTTTTATATAACTATACAATCATTTTCAAATCCATATCTTATTAATTTAAACCAATATTTGTAACTAACCTATTTATAGATATTCATTCAACACAATCTATTATTACTATACTTGGTTTCTACCTATATTACACAATAATTTGTATCACAAATTACAGTTATGTCTAGTACCTGAGTCACAGTAGTAACTCTAATTATTTTAGTTACACTCTAGCACTATCCCAGTGACACTTCCACAATACAACCCTTGTTTTTATTTACTATTCTTGCAAAATTAACACTTACAATCATATTTGTTATTTAACAAAATTCTTAAAGTCTTAATTCTCTTTTTCTTTATTCTTATCTAATCTGCAAATACTGCAAAATGCCTATATTAACTCATCAAGAGCCTGATACTGTAGACCTTGATTACTTTTACTAAAACTTTTCTGATAGTTTTGGAATTACTCTTTATAAAGAAGAACAAGGCAACAAGACTCATCCAATTTTTTCTAAAATCCAACCAACCTCCTACTTAACAAAAAATCTTAGATCATATAAGATTATATATTTTTTTCAAGCTCCTTCATCTCTATGATTACTTGGCTTTGTGGCAAATATCACACCAAATTTATCTCATCTACCAATATCAACCACATTCAAGTTACTAACTTTATTACCCTTTACATTAATAGCAACTTCAAAAAACTCAACAAAACAAGTTAAGATCTTATATCTAACATTTCTTCTTCTACCAACAGTGTTCCTCCATCTCCTACACCTGACATACACTACCATACCTGTCCAAAATACTTTGTTCTAATTGGTTGTACCAAGAGAAACAAGCATCATTATCCAATCGAAAAATATATTACTAAAAACAATAAAGTCTACTATCTTACCTGTATAACTGCCTCATCTCAGCATGAAGCTAGTTCATCTCAAACCATGAAAAATATTATTCAAACTTTTCAAAATATCTTAATGGAATCTAACCAAACCACTAATCTCAACACCAATTTTTCTAACCAAACTTCCTCTATTACTTCTGACCTTATCAACTCTTTCTTTGCTACAACTACTCATACTAATCCTATTTCTAACCAACCTCCTATTACTAACATTACTAACAACTCTAACTTAAACTTTAACAACTCTAGTAATACTAATTAACCTGATAGTATCTTAAACAAACCTCTTCTCCAAACTTACTCTAGTGTAGCCAAACCAAAATCCAACCTCACATATAACTGGCTTATAAATTTTCTAATTACTAAAGAAATGCAACCTAACAAAAAACTACAAACACATTTTCTCTTCAACTCTTTATCTTTCTCAAAAAATTTCTCTATGACTTTTATTCTGATAAAGAAATTAAACCAGCTACCTTTACTCAACTTGTACTCAAGTCCTCATTCTATTACATTATTCACATTATGGCTAGACAATGACCAGAATTCTTAACTGATCTTATCTACAGTAGCAATCCCAATATTGACAAAAGTACTATTATCCCATTTAATTTATTTGAATCTACTCTTAAAAACTTATTGCTTAAATTCACAACTGTCCTTTTCACAAAACTCAATTACTTCAAAATCTTTGTCTTACTAGTTACCATTCCCTTATATACTACTCACAATTGTCTTCAACTCTGTCTTAATCTTGCATGACTCCATCTTTTTCTATCTAACAATTATTAATCAATTAATTACCAAAAATTTGCCAAAGATCTAAAGCTTAGACCTAAAAGATTCAAAATTGAATCTTTTACTCAAACTACTAACCTTGACCAAAAATATTTTACCATTCAATCAGATACTAGATTTAATATCAAGCTTTTTTTCAATGTTTCAAAAACACTATTTCTTGAAAGATTCTGCATTCCCTCTCTAAAGAACTCTTTTGATTACTTCAATCCTTGGTTTAAAACCTATTACCTTCCTTATAGTCAACAATTTTCTTCTACTATTGACAAAGAAAAAGTTAAAACTTCTCTCTGAATTCAATTCCATTAGCAATTTATTTTCCAGCTCTCCAAGCGCCTTCCTGAATCCTACATATTCCAAAAACCTAATTCACTTCATAAGCAACATGAGGAAGCATCTTGTGTTGCATATTTCCATTGCCTGACTTGTGACAACAAATCATATCAATATCTCAATGATAAAAAATTTCATGACAGCACCAAACTCTTCAATAACATACTTACCAAATCTCACTTATCATTCCTACCTAAAGAGGATGAAACTTGAATTCATCCTACTTTCAACACTACACTATTCCATAAAAACAAAGAACATGCTGCCTTATTTGACCAACCTACTCCCACCAAAGCTCTGGACAAGTTGGCTGATCAAGCTGAAAACTTTGTTTACAAACAAAACAAAGTTAAAACTAATCCCAAATGTCATAATTACTACTTCTATTGTTACCTTTCACTATATTATCAAACTGTAGCAGAAAATCACAACATACAGTCTTTTTCCAAGAAGGAGGCAATTAACTTATTAACAAAAAAACATTATTGATACTAAATTCCTTATCCAAATTATTATCTATTTTGACATTGTCAAAAAGCAAAAATCCATCTACTTACAAATTATTAAATATTTCAATAATACCATTTATCCTGCAGCTGAGAAATTTTTAGCAAAAAAATTCAACCTTAACTTTCAACCAGTCTCCATCCTTGACTCTCTCTTTCTACAATCTTCTTTTTAAAATTCTTTGTCTTTTACAACTAATATTAAAGCAATCACTACCTTATTAAAAAAAACAACCACTGTAGTTAATAAGGAAAATGAAATAAGTAGACAGATGAACAAGCCTATTTATGTAGAAGACCATGTTAATGATGGTCAAACCCAACATACAGGGCAGACTATGGTACCTTGTACAGCTGTGAGAGCTGAGCATATGGTGATTGATCCTGTAGTAAACAATTTTAAAAGATCATTTACAACATCTTTAATTCCCTATGATCTTTACACATGCTTTAACAAATTCCTTCTTTATTACAATTTACCACTTCTCCTTCATGGTCAAACTATTCAGACCTTAATCCAACATATTGACAAATATAATAACAACAAAACTGTATCTAGTATCACATTCTCTGTTAATTC